AAAAGTTACACGATCGTTAGATCATCGTTGCATATATGCTCGAAAAAAGAAAATCGAAAAGAAAACATTAACGTGCGCATGAGTTTGCGCAACACGTTTTTTTTAGCTGTCCAAAATTGTAATGTTAATGCAGGCATTTTTTTTTTGTTCAACATGCGACGTACGGTACACGCAATCAAATAGAAAAAAAATTGCAAAAATTCTGGCTTAAAAGATTCATTTTTGATAGTCACTTTTGACTATTTTTTTCCAAAAAAAAGATTGTTCAGAAAAAATAGATAGCAAATAATATACATTGAACAATGATTTTAATGATGATTATCAAACAAAAAACAGAAAAAAATTACTCTTGTTGTTGATGTTTGGAAAACCATTCCAGAAAATTCATGAAATTTTTCACGAAAAAAGTTTTTTTTAAAAATTTGATTAACTTTTAAACTTTATTTTTAATTGTTGATAATAATGTAATTCAATTTTATTTCATATATAATACAATCAAATAAAAAGGAAAAGCCATAGATACGATATTCATTAAAGTACAAAATAGAAAAAGAAACCATAATAAGAAAAACAATGGTTTTATAAGAAAATTTAACATTGAACTAAAGTTCAATCGATTTAAATGTTTTTGAAATACATCTAATAGTTTAAACTATTAGTTATTCATAACATTAACATTGTTATACAAAACAAAAATAATGTTATAATAGTCAATTGTATCAATAAGGAGAATCGAATAGAAAATCATTTTCAGTTGATTCCTGGTGGAGATGAGCCAAAGAAAACGCAACGTTCCTGAAATTCTTACTGTGTTTGTAATGCTGTTTCAAGGAAGCGTGCTGCCTTTCGAATCGCGCGGTGGAATATCTTTTAAATCATATTGAAATAATTCAATATCCACTTCAGTATCACTAAAACACTAAACAATTTATTATTCGATTGATTGATTTGATAATTAACAACAAATTTTGTAAGAAAAAACACAAATTGAAAACAAACAACGAAATGAAAAAGGTTACACNAGGAGAATCGAATAGAAAATCATTTTCAGTTGATTCCTGGTGGAGATGAGCCAAAGAAAACGCAACGTTCCTGAAATTCTTACTGTGTTTGTAATGCTGTTTCAAGGAAGCGTGCTGCCTTTCGAATCGCGCGGTGGAATATCTTTTAAATCATATTGAAATAATTCAATATCCACTTCAGTATCACTAAAACACTGAACAATTTATTATTCGATTGATTGATTAATAGATTGGATCATTAACAACAAATTTTGTAAGAAAAAACACAAATTGAAAACAAACAACGAAATGAAAAAAGTTACACGATCGTTAGATCATCGTTGCATATATGCTCGAAAAAATGAAAATCGAAAAGAAAACATTAACGTGCGCATAAAGTTTGCGCAACACGTTATTTTTAGCTGTCCAAAATTGTAATGTTAATGCAGACATATTTTTTTTGTTTGTTCAACATGCGACGTACCGGTACACGCAATCAAATAGAAAAAAAGGGCAAAAATTCTGGTTTTAAAAGATTCATTTTTGGTTGTCACTTTTGACTATTTTTTTTTCCCAAAAAAAAGATTGTTGTTCAGAAAAAAGTGGTCCAATTAATTTCATAATATTTTTTTTGTTTTCCAAAATATTATT